CATCCCCCTCATGGTTGCCTTATTTGACTTATATTGCTGAGGAACCCCCGAAGCATGTGTTGTCGCCCCGATGAAATATTCTTAGACTAGGTCCCTTGTGTTAGTTGTCTTAGGGACGTAAAGTGAGGATAACGAGAATGAGTAATTGGGTTATTATTGGTTGATGAAATTAAATTAATTATTTATTGTGGGTTGAAGACCCTATATGCTCACCAGACTCCCAAGCCTGACCCACTCAGTTTTCTTTGCATTACAGGTAATGGCACAAGAGTATAAGTTGGTGGACTTGACGAGAGGTTTTGGATTATAGATCAGTAGTTATAAATAACTGTTATAAGGTCTATTTTGTTTTGTTTATGCTTTTGGTCTGTATCGGAACATGACATCCCGAGGTTTTATTATTTAATGAAAATACATTCTCTTTGAGAAATGTTTTGATAAATGGTTATCATATTTTGTTTTGGGAACAAATTCCGCAACCGTTTTCTTTAAAAGATTTATTCTGATTTTATAAAACAAAGTATAAACAAATCAGTATTTTCTGGCCGTGAAATTGGGGATGTCACATTTATCACTAAATGATGTATTCGATATGTATTTTTTGTGTTTTAAACATTTTATTGCTAACATATTAGTGACAATGCATTTTTTTATGTATTAAAATGCTTTTGGTAGGATCTACGATACGATTCGATCTTACAAAGTGAAAAATGATTCTACATAAGATCCCAATCTTGACAACCTTGGTTTTGACTCTTAAAATGGGTTTTGACCCTTAAATCGGTGTATTTATAATCCCCTGACTATGTAGTCAAATGCTTGTATGCTCTTATTGACTTAGAGAACTCGAACAAGAAAGTGAAGATGTAGCACCTGGTTCCTGGTACGTAAAATTTATCTAAGTATTTGTCATTTTTAGCCTTGGACTCGGCGAGTTGTAGGTCCGACTCGCCGAGTAGGGACGGGGTCCGGAACGCGTTTAAGTTGGCGACTCGGCGAGTCCATATTCTGGACTCCGCGAGTCTCCGCTGTTTGATGAAACCCTAAATTTCAAGGGTTTGCACCCTATTTAAACCTTCTTATCAGCCCCTAAGCTCGCCCCCTTCACCCTCAGAGCTCCTAACATCGTTTATACCCTTATTCCTTGTGAGATTGAAGTGTTTTGGTGTGTTCTTGAAGATTTTGAGGAGAAAGAAGAGTAGATCGAGAAGAGGAGAAGGAGGCCAGGCATCTTTGTGTCATCTCAGCGTTTTCCTTGAGGTATAACTCGTTTCCCCTCTGTTTTCATGCTTGTAGTCTCTATTAGCTACATGAAAGTCCTTCTTGAGCCATTTCCCAAGCTTGTTTGTGCATTGTGGGTTGTAATAAGTTGTTAGCCTCTAGATCTAGGCATGATTGAGCTCAAGGAGCTTGGATCTATTGCCTTTATGGAGCCATAGTGCATGAAAGCCCTAGATCTATTCTTTTGGTGCATTTTGAACCCTAAAACCCTCATGGGTGTTTATTTACACGTAAAGTTGGAAACTTTACGTGTAAACCAGGCCCTAGAAACCCAGATCTATGAATGGCATGGGTTAGATTCAAGTAGAATCGCGTGTATAGTATTTGCATGTGGAAGACTCGGCGAGTCAAGTCGCGAGTCCCCGAGTTTTCCCCCTTTGCGTGTTTGCGTGTTTGAGTAGTGAGTCATAGGGTGTGACTCAGTGGGTTGGAAGCCAGACTCACTCATGTAGTAACTCGACGAGTCAATGCCATGACTCGGCGAGTTCAAGGCAATCTTCTTGCCTCAAGAACGGACTCGACGAGTTGTTCATACAACTCGGCGAGTCTTAGCATAGAGTGTTCTTTAGACGAAGATGAACTCGACGAGTTGTTCATACAACTCGGCGAGTAGAATGAAGAACGTTGGGTCATCAACTTAGAAGGAAAACTCGTCGAGTCAATGCTAAACTCGACGAGTAGAGGCGGGATAGTGGTCAGACAAAGGGATAGGGACTCGGCGAGTTGGCAAGCCAACTCGGCGAGTCGGGTCAACTGGAAGTTGACTTTGACTTTGACTCATGGTTTGGTTAAGGGTAAATGGTCAGTTTACCCTGAGGTCAGTTAGCAGTATGTGACTAAGTGTTTGGTGGGAATTGCAGCCGGAGGATTTCTGGAGCAGCAGCAGCAGTCAGATAGTTCCCACGCAGAGCAGCAACTACGAGGTGAGTTACTTCCCAGTAGCGATGGGTCTACGGCCACAATGTCGACCCACCAGTAGGAGTTGTATGATAGATGTTTGTCTCCGTGATATTCATCTAGATTTGCTACTACCTATGTTATGGTTATGTGTTAGTATAATATGATGCTATGTGATATGTGTTATGTGGTAGTAGTAAGGGGGTGAAATAGTCCCCAGTATTTGGTCTCAAGGACCGAAGGGTAGGTCCGGCACCCAGATATGCCCGGTAGAATTCGGTCGCAAGGACCGAAGGGTAGGTCGGGCACCCAGATATGCCTGACAGTATTCGGTCGCAAGGACCGAAGGGTAGGTCGGGCACCCAGATATGCCCGGTAGTATTCGATCGCAAGGACCGAAAGGTAGCTCGGGCACCCAGATATGCCCGACAGTATTCGGTCGCTAGGACTGAAGGGTAGGTCGGGCACCCAGATATGCCCGACAGTATTCGGTCACAAGGACCGAAAGGGTAGGTCGGGCACCCATATATGCTCGACAGTATATGTATGTTATGTGTTTTTATGGTATGCGGTACAGTGGGGGGAACTCACTAAGCTTCGTGCTTACAGTTTTTAGTTTTGGTTTCAGGTACCTCTTCTTCGAAGGGGAAAGAGCTGGCGCGGTAGCGGCCCATCACACACACGCCTTGTATTCCGCACTATGAGATTTCCTAGGGATTGTCCTCTGACGTTGTTATGTTTTTATAAACTAAATTCCAGACACGCACACTTTTATGAATGATATGATCGGTGTATGTTTTACTACTAATGTTTTGCTAATTATATGTTTTCTAAAATGAAAATTTTTAGCTTGTATTTTTGGGATGTTACAGAAGAAACAAGATAAGTACAAATGAAATAGTAGAACATTATTTATACTCGAGTCTTCCCGAAAAAACGAAAAGACAATCAACTCAAGAGACATGGAAGACATGATTTTAGAAGACGACTATCTAATAACTTTCTACATTCTATACAAATTATATATGAAGAGATATCTAGTTAATAAACTAGACCAGTCTTTATTATGCTTTATAATACTAAAACTTGTTTAAAATTCTATATTTCAATGAGCAATATACATCTAAGCCAATATACTTTGACCGTTTTGGTGGTTTGACCACTATGTGTGTGTGTGTATATATATATATATATATATATATATATATATATATATATATCAGTAATGGAAGTCACCTAGTTTTGAAAGAAATTTCCACTGTAAGCATTACAACCCCCTATTTCCGCGCTAGCACATATTAAAACTAATATAATTTTATATTTATTTACATGACATCATATGTTGGTGATTTTAGTGTCACAATGTCATTTTAAGTAAGTGGAACTAACATGTGAGCTAAGAGCTTCATAATTTGTACTCTAATATATGTACGGGGTTGTGTGAAGTGCACACATGTATAAGATCGAATTAGAAGCCGATTTGACGACTAGTCGGGGGTGCGGGGTAGCACCCCTGGGTCCGGGGTTTCTAAAGGGGCAGCACCCCTAGCGGGGTCCAAGACAACTAATGACGGTCCAACCCTAATGAAACCCTAATCTTGTTAGTTTTGGTAACCATAAATCCTCATTAAATCCGGATTATCATGACTTGCTTCCAAAGCAACTAATGACGACCCAACCCTAATGAAACTCTAATCTCGTTTAATATATAAACAGTTCTTCCTCTTCAGAGGAGGGTTACGATCTTAATCTCTCGTTTTTCATCATACTTTCACAGAATCCTTTAGCATATTGGCTTACGTTTTCCATGTCTAGAAACGTAAGTGTCCACTTGGATTATCCTAGACTGAATTTCTTGTAACCCAGACATATGGTAGAAATATCAATTCGGAAAGTGATTTCACGATCCAAGTTGGTATACAGATCTCCACCACAAACCCTAAATTTCCCTACATCATATGTACTCTATAAAATAACATCTTCTTTCATAAAATAACTTTATTTGTTAGTTTGTCACATTATACATATCATGTATGTAAATAAAAAACCAACTTTAACATCTTTTAGAGCATCTCCAATGGACCTCTATTTTTGTGATATAGAGGTCAAAAATGCTTCAATCAATCACTAAAAATGGTTTTTATTTTTGTTGGAAGAAATATGACCTTTATATACAGAGGCTACTATTCATAACACTAAATCATTTTTTCTTTAAATGGGTTATTTTAATTGCTTTTTAGTTTTTATAATTATTGTTTTGTATTTTATAATATTAAAATATGTTTTAGTGTAATTTTTTAATGTGTGGTTGGAGTTAAAATGAATTTTGGTGTTAGTTTTATACAAAAATAATGTAATTTTTAGTGGTAAGGTTTGAGGTGGTCTTGTTTAGGGGTGAGCAGTTTGTCCCACATCCCGATCACGTACCGGTACCGAATTTAAAAATACGGGACGGTACTTGGTACTCCAAATACATAAAATTCGAGAATCGATACCGTCGGTACCGGTACTAGTACCGAGTACCAGTACCATTCCCGGTACCGGTATCGGTGATGTTAATTTGGTTTGGTACCCGAAATTAACTTTCGATCAAATTCGGTATTTAGGAAATCGTGAACGGAACGGGTGGTTCCGTCCCATGCTCATCCCTAGTCTTGTTTGACAAAATAGGTGTAAAATGGTCGGAGTGGAAATTTATTAAAACATGTGTTTTTTTATAGATCAAAATAAAATATAAAATATAATGAGTAAAGCAAAAAAAATACCAAAATAATGACTTGTATCTAAATACATTGCCTATTTTATTTTAATCCATTACATAGGTGATGAGTCAACTCATTGAGTCCCATATTCCATCACACCTTAAGAAACACATCGCAACCACGTCCTGCTCAGATCAGCTCTCCCTGAACATTGCCGAAAAACCACCACCACCACCACCCTCCTCCTCCACCTTTCGCCACCTCCGCCCTCTTCAAAACCCTAATTCTTACAATCATGGAAGATTACCCCGAAGAACTCCGAACACCACCGGTCACACTAGTATCTATCGTCGGTCATCCAGACCTCCATGCCACGATCTCAACTCATCTCCACTCGGAACAACCGCCGATCAATACACTCGCATTACCAGATTTTTCCAAGATCTCCGTCATAGCCAAAACCCCCAAGGAAAAAGAAAATCAATTGCCGTCAAGTTACACTTCTAGCGGCATTTTAAAAAGAGATTGGCTCTCGAAGCATCGTACTAGGGTTCCTGCAGTTGTTGCAGCTCTCTTCGATGCCGATCAACTGTCCGGTGATCCCGCCCTGTGGCAACAGGTCTGCACCGATATCGAAAACCTCAAGTATGCCATTTTGCACTTCCACCTTTTTGTTATGATAATCTCTCCGTTCTTAGTTAAATTTCGAGTTGATTTCACTTTTATCTTCAAATTGATTTGGACTTTACACTTTCCAAGAAATATTGCGACTGCATTTTTAACAACAAAATAATGTTGGTGCTGAATTGGCAACAGAAACAAATTACTTTCCAAAACTAGAAGGTTTCACACCTGAAATCAAATTGAAGCCTAAATGTATGTGTTCATTTATACGTTTTTATGCATGACAGAGCAGTGATTAAAGGGAGGAATATCAAACTGGTAGTGGTGGTCGTTGTGCGGTTTAATTCCAGAGGTAAGTGGGCTTTACCTGTGTATGATGCTTGATTGATTTGATAACTTCATATGGTTTCCATATAAAATACCTTTTAGTTGTTCTGTAAGTTAATACTTCTGCTTTCATGGTTATGAACATCATTGGTGATTATCAATTATGTATCTTTTGATTTCTGTTATGTTTGTTCTCCTTCAAGTTTACAGTATTGTGGGTTTAGTCTCATCATCAATTTCCTGCTATGTAGAGTAAAATAGAAACAACACATTAGATCATATAGTGGTTCCTGATTGAAAAGAGTAAAAAATAAGAGGAAGTTTCCACATTGTCAAACAAAATTCAGATCCTAGAAAATTAAATTAAATTACACTGAGAATTTTGCATTAGGGGTAAGATCGTCATCTTTATCCTTTTTTTCCGCCTAAAAAGGACATCTTGCAAGTCTTGATGTACATCCCAAATGGGAACATGTGATGAAACATGGTCACATAATTCGTGTCAGTTGCATAAATTGGTAAAAAAAAAGTGAAACATTGTTGAAGAATTGATTACAAAGTTAATCATTGTTTGCATAAGTTGGTAAAAAAATGAAACATTGCTGCATAAACAGATAAATTGAAACATTGTTGCAGAAATTGGTAAAACACCACTCTGTTGCATAAATTGGGAAATTGTGAAACATCATACATCTATGATCTATATAAATGTAGACACTTTTATAAACCCAATACACAATTAGCTTCATTCATAAATCATAATGTCCATTGTTGATGAAATTACTTTTTTTTTTTGTTACAGATTTTATCACTGAAGATCGCATGGTTGCTCTTCGTAAGCGTGCTGAACTAGATGCAAAATATGTTGTTACCTTTATCCCTGATGATGCTTCTGAATTGAACCAATCCCTAAACAGGCATACTCTCTCTCTCTCTCTCTCTCTCTCTCTCTCTCTCTCTCTTCATTTATTGCTAGTGTATGATAATAAAGCAGGAAGCAAATACAATCAATAATACTAGTAGGTATCTGCTTTCATTGTTTCTGTATGAATACAGTATTTACCTTCTTACCCTTGCTCCTTGTTACTTATTATGCAATGTTTGTTCTCTTTACTTACTGATTGAACTGTAGGCTAGGAAGCATATTTGCAGAGCTAGCTGTTACCTTTTATAGGGATGAAGGAAGAAGGGTTAAAATGCGGCTTGAAAAAAAGACTTATGCCTCTATAGAGTTTAATATCCGCTACTGCTTTAAAGTAAGAAACTCTTTTTTTATAAATTTCTGTACAAGTTTTTTTTTTTTTTTCAAGTGTTGCAAATATCTGTTCATAATATCTTGACATTTGAATCCAATTCTAGGTTGCTATATATGCAGAATTCAGGAGAGATTGGGTTGAAGCATTGAGGATGTATGAAGATGGCTATCATGCACTACGAGAGGTTCTCTTTATAACATTTTTTTTTCCACTTTTTAATTTTTTATTAACAATTCAAATTACAGATGATTGGGACATCCACTAGATTACCTCCGATCCAACGGTTGGTAGAGATCAAAGCAGTTGCAGAACAATTGCATTTTAAAATATCAACATTACTTTTACATGGTGGAAAAGTTGTGGATGCAATTAAATGGTTTCGCCAACATAATTCTTGTTATAAAAAGGTCACGGGCCCACCACAAGTCAACTTTCTTCATTGGGAATGGCTAAGCAGACAATTCTTAGTTTTTGCTGAGTTGCTTGAAAGTAGCAATGCAACTATGCAAACCACTTCCTCTCCTCCCTTAGCCTGGGAATTCCGCCCTGCATACTATTATCAGGCAAGAAATACCAACCTACTTTCATTAATTTTAAATTATATTTTAACCTTTTTTTGCCAAACTAATTGATGTTGACATGACACAGCTTGCTGCTCAATATCTAAAGGAGAAGAAAACATGTGTAGAGGTTGCTCTTTCCATGCCTGATTCCATTCCGGAGACTGATGACAGTTCTGATTCCATTGTTCCTTCTCTTTACATCGGTCAATATGTTCGATTACTTGATCTCGGGGACACCTCTGTAATGCAACTGTACGTCTTCATAAACACATACAAAAATAAAAATACCGTTTCTATTCTCCCATGATATATGTATTTTTTTTTTAAATATATTTAAATAAATTACTTTTTTGGTTTTCTAGTATTACAGATGAAGATTACACCCAATATACTCTCACTGAATTCCAAAAATCCCGTGACTCAACCGAAATCATCGGATTACTAAAAAAATCATATGAAGCGTACACAAGCTCAAAATCCCAAAGATCCGCCTCGTTCTGCCGCCTTCTAATGGCAAAAGAATACTTCACCTCAAACGACCACACCACCGCAAAACTCCACTTAGATAAACTCACCACCCTCTACCGCCAAGAAGGTTGGGTGGCTCTACTATGGGAAGTCCTTGGTTACCTCCGCGAATGCTCCCGGAATCTCAATTCCGCCCAAGACTTCATCGCGTATTCCCTCGAAATGGCCGCCCTCCCTCTTTCCCCACTCGCCGGAATCCAAAAAGACTACGGCCCCGGCGGGTCCCCCTCTCTCCAACAAGTCGAACGGATCCACCAAGAAGTGTTTTCCATCGTTCTTGAAGATTCTGATTCCAATTCTGGTTCCGATTCCGGTGGTGGGGTGAAAGTGAACGGGGAGTATCCGGTTCATCTTGAGATTGATCTTGTGAGTCCGCTTCGAGTTGTTCTGCTTACTTCGGTTGCGTTTCATGAACAAATTGTGAAACCGTATGCTCCGACTTTGATTACGGTTTCCATTTTATCCCAATTGCCTTGTCCAGTTGAGATTGATCAGTTGGAGGTGCAGTTTAATCAATCGGAATGTAATTTTATAATTGTGAATGCGCGAAGAAGGGAGAAGTCCGCGATTACTAATGTTCATCCTGACCGGAGAGTTGAAACGGTTCCAGTGCTTCAACTTTTTACGAATAAGTGGTTACGGTTAACTTATGACATCAAATCGGGTAAGTGGGCCCACTACAGCACCTGATTTACATCTCACATGATGCTGTTATACATGAATAAATGAAAGTGCATTTCTATTTTTTCGTATTTAATTGTTCCTTTTGCATGATGCAGTGAATAGTGGAAAGCTGGAATGCACATACGTGATTGCGCGAATCGGATCCCATTTCAGCATATGTTGTGGAGCTGAAAGTCCCGCCAATATGACCGATTTACCCCTCTGGAAATTCGAGGACCGATTCGAAGCTTCCCCAACAAAAGACCCCGCAATCGCATTCTCCGGTATGAAAGTGACCCAAGTTGAAGAACCCGACCCGCAGGTCGACCTTAAATTGGACTCCGTGGGTCCCGCTTTAGTCGGCGAAAACTTCATGTTACCCGTGACCCTCACCTCCAAGGGCCATTCCGTCTTTTCCGGAGAATTAAAAATCAATCTAGTGGACACCCGAGGGGTCGGTTTACTTAGCCCGAGAGAAGCCGAAGTATCCTCTACGGATAATCTTCATGTTGAGCTTCTCGGCGTATCGGGCCCGGAATTGGAATTGGAATCTGATTCCGATTCCCCTCGGAAATTCCAAAACTCGTTCGGGTTGGTTTCGGTTCCTTTTTTGAACGTTGGTGATTCGTGGTCATGTAATCTTGAAATCCGGTGGCACCGCCCGAAACCGATCATGCTTTATGTCTCTCTCGGGTACTCCCCGGTTTCGGGCAGCCCGAAAGTACATGTCCATAAAAGCTTACAAATTGAAGGAAAAACTCCGGTTGTCATCAGCCACCGCCTCATGCTACCCTTCCGGCGGGACCCGCTATTACTCTCTCGAATCAAACGTACCCCGGATTCTGGTCAGCCCGCATCGCTGCCCGTAAATGAAACAAGCATACTCGTTGTCAGCACCACAAATTGCACCGAAGTCCCGTTGAGACTAATCTCAATGTCCGTCGAGCCCGATGACAATCTCAAATCCGGAAATCAAGATTCCGGGCAGCATCCCGGGCAGCCTACACTCCTGCCCGGGGAAGAGTTTAAAAAAGTATTCACGGTAAAACCAGAGGCGAATATTACGAAACTTAACATGGGAAGTGTTTGTTTACGATGGAGACGCGATTTTGACTCATCGAAAGAAGTTCTCACAAAGCAAAATTTACCGGATTTAAACGTGGAATTCCCGCCATTGATTGTGAGTTTAGAGTGCCCGCCACATGGGATTCTCGGGCAGCCGTTCACGTATTATGCCCGGGTTCATAACCAGACGAAACTACTTCAAGAAATTAGGTTTTCATTATCGGACTCACAAAGTTTCGTTTTATCGGGCCCACATAACGATACGACATTTGTTTTACCATTATCGGAGCATATTTTGAGTTATAAACTTGTCCCGTTAAGTTCGGGCTCTTTACAGCTTCCGAGGGTTACGATTACTTCGGTGAGATATACAGCGGGCTTTCAACCGACGGTTGCGGCTTCGACTATTTTTGTATTCCCTTCGAAACCGCAATTCCAATTGGAATTGGAATCCGGGAAGAATTCTGGTTCTGGTTCCGGATAGGAGATTCCGTTTCCGGTGTGATGTGTTTTGTTTGGGTGGTAAGTATACATACTTTGGTTTTTTTACGCAATCTTATGATATGATTAGACGTGGTTGTTTTGAATCGATCAATAGGTTTTGTGGATGTAGGGTTTGTATGGAAAGAACTATTTTTATTTTTTGTGAAGTGGGGTTGACTATTGATGAGATTAATTAATAAAGGAAACTTTATCATTTGGTGTTTTTGGTTTTGTACATTCATACGATTATATCTAGTTAGCTACATTGATAGGTCAAAATAATGGTATTTATATTTTCAAAGAAAGTCACGCTCCTACATTTATCACTCGTAACAACTTACACTCTGCTCCCGAGTTCACTAAAGAAAATAAAAGAAAGGAAAGCAAGAGAAAAAAAAGGGAGATCTTCCTTTCCTTTCTCTCCAATTCCTCCCAATTTGGAAGGACAATTTTCAAGGGAGATTAGTATAAATCTTTTTTTTATTTTTTTATTTTTTTATTTTTTTATTTTTTATTTTTTTATTTATCAATCCTCCTGCTTCTTTTCCTTTCTCTCATTAAATGAAACTCTAGAGTATTGCGTTAATATGTTATAATTTAAATAGGCCTAATTTCATCCTCCATACATGAAAGGTATAAATCTAGAAACAAAGGTCCGTTGGGGTTGTGTAGATGATGAGTAGTGGAAGCGAACAACATTTTTGACTTACTAAATCCACACAATAACAAGAACGATCATAGTTTTTAATTTTTGTTGCATTAATTTCGGGTTTCTTCAAATTTTGTTCTTCATCATCCATTGGGTTTATTCTAGTTTTTTCTACTAATACGAAGAAGCATAGATTATCAGGGTGATTATTACTCGTGTTGTACTTGGTGCATCACATGTTTAGGATAAACCATATTACTCAAACATGTGTTAGCGTATCCCACATCACATCACGTCTCTATCTATGTTCGAGTCTCTGTTGTCTCCATAAGAGCTCATTTGAAGAGTAAATCAGCAACATTTTATATATTTCAGACAATTTAATTTTGTAACGAAATTTAGTACCAGTTTTTAAGGTTTTTATTTACTTTGGGCTTAGGATTTTACCATCTTAATAAACAAATTTGTCTCAATATAGGTACGTGTTCTTCACAAATGAATTCGTATAAAACGAGATTTTTAGACTTCTTGTTTGTAGTGGTAGGTCGTAGGAGTGAATCAACAATGTTATGCAGTCAAATAACACATGTTATGATGTGGATTTGATTTATGGTATCAACTACTATGGATTGGTTAACTTGATTAATAACTTCAACTTCAAGGTTACATACAAATCAAATCTATTTTCCTTTTTAATTGTTGGGATTTAAGATGCAACGTCGACAAACACAAGGACAATGATATAGACAATTATGCTAAAACGATTAAACGATAATATAAAGAGGTTTAATGTGGTTTATTTGATCTGTCTTATCAAGCTATGTCCACAGGCAAACTAGAGATTCTTTTATTGAAATCAAAGACTATACAAAGAACTATGTATTTACTGCACTCACAATAGCGGCTCACATTGTCATCACACTTAGGGTTACGGTAAATGAGATGTATTATAGTCGAGTTGAGCCAAATGTCTAGGTTGGGCCATTAGGACTTTGATAGATTTGCATAGAGTTAAAACTTGTTCTCAAAGATTTTACGTACAACATTGAAACTTAAGGCTAGAAACTCCTTCGTTGCCACTTCGGTTAGTAACACCGCAATAGAGACTGCGCTTCGGGACGTGTGATATCCCCCATTTTTAGAACCAATTTAAAAATTTTCCTTACGCATTTAAGTATTCAAATGCGGAAGTTCCCAGTTAAATAAACATTTTTGAAATAACAAAAGTTATTATATTAAAACATTCAGAACGTTATTCGTTTATATCTGAATATACGCTACAAATTAAATAAAAAGGTCCCGAAATAACTAGTGCAAACCTATCTTTTTTTCCACTCAGCATCGTAACTAGGGAATTTCAACTTTGGCTCCATTACCTGTGATTCAATAAAATGAGTGAGTTAGGTTTGGGAAACCCGGTGAGATACGCAGGGTTTTCAAGCCGATAACATTCCAATGATAAAATATCATTCCTACAAGACATATATCAGGTGAAAATATATAACTTGTCCTAAGACCATCTACCCAATCCCAACCGATCCTCACATATCCTATTTTGACAATCATATGGAAGAATCACCTTATCGGAAGAACTTTCTATGCAATTGTTTGACTACACCTGCTTGGGGAGTCCTTGGCTAGTTTAAGTCATATAAGCCAACTAATGTTGAGAGATTTTGATGAATACGCCTTCCCATTTCATCTACGTCCATATGTTGTAAATCCATGCTAGCAATGTAATTCACAAGACCACCTAGAACAGCCATGTGTTGGTCGTCTACTCTGTTCAATGACCCAGATATATCGTCCGATTGTCTGATCGGGACCCACCATTTCTGGTTATCCCAAGACGGGGTTGATTACATCCCGATCTGGTCCCACACACTCTAACCCAACTATGAGACCTAATTGATGTCAAACCTATTCGACACTAAGGAATCTTTTATAAGTCTAATTCCTAATCTAAGGCAAGACCTATATCTAAAGGCAATTGATTTCTACAACAATTCCTAATCCAAACGTTACTATCATATCTTCACAAATAACACATAACATAGATAATACGAACAACATTTATTATATGGATATTTTTAAGTTAAGATTATGTTCTTGATAATAAGTACACACTTACTTGACAAAGTGTCTGGTGATTGGTGAATCGGGCAAAGCTTCACCTTACACCTTTCTCAAAATACCTAGATGTACATAATGCTACGTCTTAGTCTAGTTTCATACTACATGGAACTATTATCTTAAGATTTTAGATTCCTCAACAATTCCAAAGTCTACTTCAAGATCAAACAAGTAAGGATCAGCCATACAAGACAGTCGGGAGGCAGGATCATTTCGATATATAGTCTTTCTGAAATCCAACAACCAAGCCGACATGACCATTCTAGACACCTCTCCCTTAGTAGATCAATCCACATGACAACTTAGAATCGTTGATAAATCTTAATTATAAGATCCTAGTAACGACTTACAACTATAATTATAAATTACACATCGACAGAGTAAGTGTAGCTCACTTATAGAGTACAATAGATGATAATCGGGATCTAAACAGGGAGAATACTGACTTCGGTCTTTCTTACGCAAAGATTATGGCAAGATAAGCACTCGAGGGTGTTGTAGGGGTTCTTCTTAGGCTAGAATGAAGAAAAATGGGCTAACTATTAAAATTTTTAGAGAGATATCGACCGGAGGGTGTGGGGAGAGTGAAAGAATGAACTGATATTTATAGGTGAGTTTGGAATCTGGCACATTGTGCAACAGGGCTATCAACATGTGGCACGATTTGGGTGGGGCTACGCGGCTGATTTCGCGCACAAGCTACGCGCGACATGCATGTGTGTGTGACATTTCTAGATTTTTAAATTTGCATAACTCCTTCATACGAGCTCCATTTTTTACGTTATTTATATCCAAAGAAAGCTTTCGATGAGATCTACAACTTTCCTTTAGACTTCATTGGCTAATTTTGACTTTATTTTATTTACACATGCTTAGCCTATTAAAGCCCGTATAAAATGCATAACTCTCACATCGGGCGCCTGTTTCGATGGTTTTTATATCATTGGAATCCTAACAACGATATCTTCAACTCTCGTTTAGATTGTTTTGGCTAACATTAGATCTATCTGAAACTCGATATCGATGTGCACACTACTGTGCCGAATTTTAGAAAAATCATAACTTCCTCTAGTGAAGTCAGATTTAGACGATACCTATACACATGAATTCGCTTTTATGACATCTATGAATTCTGTTTAGACTTCCTAAGATAAAAAGCAATCTTATCGATATTCACTTTTTACGCTCTCCGTAGCCGTGTCGGTTTTATCGCGTGATTTTGCTGCTTCCTAACTTCTTCGTTCTAAGTTGGATTGAGGCGTTCTAAATATGTCCAGGATCCGAATTATGAATACTATAACTAGGTTGAGATTATTTTCCCTAAGTGATCTTTTATTTTTGTTGTGTATTTTAAATCTTATTTATTTTATTATATAATATATCTTAGTATTATATCAAACACATAAGCACAAAATATATGAATAATAATGTCTTATTCATTCAAAAAATGACTACATGACTTAACCGCACATGTTACATGTTTGATTACTAAGCCTAGCTGGAAACGCGGGCGTTACAACATGGCCACAACTATGTTTCTTCATGGACTTAAATTCTTCCGGATATCTCCAACCTTTTTTGATATCAAAGTTCGCTTTCACTTTAGGTCAAAGACAAGACCGCGCTCTTCATAATGCTTCTCCACTGACCAAAGGTGCAATGAAAATTTCGCTTTCTGCCTTTTATTTAAGACTCAACATCTCAACAATCTCCCACTTGGAGACTAAACGACAAGATTCAACTATTTCGATCCAAGATGTAACCCTAAAAATTTTCTAGTTTGCGCCTTCTCCCCAATTTTACCGAAGGCCAATTGAGGTCATATATAGCCTAAACTTCTCCCACGTCACTTCCTTGGTGAACATATCTATAGGATTCTTCACAGTAAGTATCTTCTTCAAGTTAAGCATACCTTCATTTATTAATTCCATGATAAAATGGTACATCAACTTGATGTGTTCATCCTACTATTAGGACTTATGTGTTACGTCATTGTAGGCTTATAGTTTAGTCTTTTTTGTATCCAGGTTGGACCTGTCCACATGCTTATTGATTATTAGGGTTTAGTTATTTAAGGTGCATGCATGCACCGTATCTTGTAATCGTCACATTTGTAAACCCTACACGCCTTTACAATAGCAGTTCTTTATCGAGCCCTTCTAAGGTTGTGATTAATAATCATTCGACATATTTGATCTTCATTCTGTGTTCTTGATTTATTTACCTGTTTGAATCTATCGATCATTCAAGATTTATTCTCATCAATTGGTATTAGAGAAGGAGACTGTGTAATCCATACACATCTCTTCTGTTAAAGAGCTTTAAGGGTTTCCGCTTTAATAGGATCTATAGTTTGTCGTCTTCTTTGATTTCATCAATTACATACGTTGAATTTTGATCTTTATTTTACCCTATACTCAATTTTAGGTTTA